AAGCCCCTAAAGAAAATGTAGAAGATTTAATACCTCCATCAATAAAAATTCAAATGAAATTGACTACATACTGAGAGTAGAAAAATACATGTATGTTCAAGCATGAAAGCATGATACAGTGGTACAAACACAGATTCTAGATAATATCTGAATGGGAAATTCCTCAAGTTTACAGATTTATGCATCCTCAAAGGTAATCCTCAAAGGCAATAATTATCACTACCATGTAGGCCTGTTTTCTTTTTTTACTTTACATGTAATATAAGTAAAATAAAATACTTAAGAGTACTTCCAAGTGCATAGAAAGTACTTAACAAATGCTTGCCATTATCACTGTATGCTAACTTACTCATTTAATTCTCAGAACACCACGAGGTAAGGTATTATTACTTTCAACCTAAATAGAAGATAAGTTTAATTAGCACAAGGTTCTGACTCTGAATCTTTCCAGCTCCAAGACCATGCTCTTAGTTTCCTAACACTTTGTAAGTTCCCAGAGGTCTTGTTCTTATGCCACCGTAACATTTGTCAAGATGTAATTAAAATGTCATTTAACTGATGTTTCACTTTCAGAATAAACTATATGAGGGTGATTGAATTTGTTTCTTCACTTCAGTTCATTAGTCACTACTAGACACTCATTCACATTTCAGAGTTTTTCTACCGGGCACTATGTCAGGGCCTGGGATATCAAGCTGAGTTAAACAGAGGGAATTCCTGTATTCATAAAACTCAAAGATACTCAGATTCATATAATGAAATAAATACATAATTATAAATTATCATAGTGGGGATGGAAAGTTATGGGTAATAGAAAGTTTAACAAAGGAGAGGATGAGGGAAGTGGGGGAGACACTGCGGCAATGATGAAAGGAAATGGAGTGTGTGGGGACAATATTTTTATGCATGAAATCTGACCATTAACAGTTTTGCAAACTATGGTACCTAAAATAAAAATAAAATAAAATAAGCATAATTTAGTTGAAAGAGCTTAAAAAAAGGACTTCCTAGAGAAAGGACACCAGCAGAGAAGACTGAACAGAGATTAACAAAGCAAAGAAATGGTAATATAAACACTTGGTGCATAGGACCATAAGAAGAGGTTATGAAGGAAAGAAAGCAATTTGGCTGGAGAGGAGCCAATTCCGCTGACAAGAGAGCTCACAGCACAACAGAAAGAGATAAGAAAGGAGAGGTGAAAGAGCAGGGCACATAAACATTAAGGACTTGGAACTTTATCATTGGTACAAGGAGAATTTTACTTTAGCTATGATGTGGAGACTAGAGAAAGACAGGCAAAGAATCTGTAAAATCCATGAGCTAAAAAAAAATTCATTATTCTAATACTACTAGTCAGGAGAAATATGGTGATGGCTCAAGACTTGAAAGGAAGCAGAGACAGGATGGGGAGAGGTATACAGATTCAATGTATAGCGACCCCTCCATGGCTGACACTGTTCCTTACAGTAATAGATATCCAATAATTCTGTTTACTGAATAAATAATTCCGCAAGCAAAGGTACTACCCATTCGAAAACATCCTCTAACCCACAGATACAAGCCCTCCTCCTGAGCAGTATAATCATACAATGGACATAAGAGACACAAAATGATGTTGAAAATGATTAAATTCATAAACCAGCTGGCAAGATTGCAGTTAGATAAAGCTCTTGATATGTTAATGTATCTTTGTGAAACAAAGTGCCTTACCCATTCTGACAACGGAAAATTTTAAAACTCAGATATCTTTCTGCTATGTGACTTTCCAAGCTTGTTATAAAATGTATTATTTAAAATAGCCTGAAGCTACACTGCTAGAAACACAGTAACACACTAAAGGGGTTGAAAGAAAGTCCTTTTATGAACAATAAAAGAAAAAGCTGTAGTCAGACAATTTATACTTGATATATATATATAAAGCAAGAAAAGTATACCTATATATAATTTTAGAAATTTACTTTCCTCTTATAAAATATGGTATCTGTCATTTCCTGGGCTGGAGGGATAGCACAGTGTGTAGGGCGTTTGCCTTGCATGCAGCCAATACGGCCAACCCGAGTTCAATTCCTCTGCCCCTCTCGGAGAGCCCAGCAAGCTACTGAGAGTATCTCGCCTGCACAGCAAAGTCTGGCAAGCTACCTATGGCGTATCCAATATGCCAAACATAGTAACAAATCTCACAATGTTACTGGGCCCAATCGAGCAAATCAATGAATCACGGGAGGACAGTGACAGTGACAGTGACCTGTCATTTCCAAAAATATCAAAGTATTCTGATAATTATTAGCAAGAAATTCTTATGTAAAGTTAAAATTTTTTCTTAACAGAAAAATGCACAAGGTCTTGATAGAGTTACTTAATAAATGTGACCTTTTGTTCATATAAAATTTATTTTGTAAAATTGTAAAAATAAAGCCATGTTAGATTTAAATGTTTGTCCACATAGTGATGAGAGTAAACGAATTCATAATTATAGTCAACTGAAATAAAAAGCTGTTACTTTCATAATCCATGAAAATGTTTATCACTGATACAATGATAAATTACTAATAGGGTAACAAAGGAATAGTCAGTCTGGCTTAAATCAAAGGCAATCTTGTTAGAAGTTAATACATTTTTCCATTTTTGAATAAAGATTTACTTATTCTTAAATTAGGTAAGATAGCTTAATATGGAGCCGGAGAGTTAGTACAGGGCTTAAGGTGTTTATCTTGCTTGCAACTGACTATGGTTCAATCCTTAGTACTAAATATGGTCCCCTGAGCACTGAGGAGTGGTATCCAAGCCACTCTGGCCCAAAAGCCAAAAATGAAATTAAAGAAATAGTATAAAATGCTAAAGGAGGATGAAAAGCGCAAATACCTACGGGTGTATGTGAAGATTACTTTTGCAAAGAAAAGCATTATTAAGAGATTTATCTTGCAAGGCTTTGATTAAAAACAAAATCAACTCCTAAGACTCCAACTTCTGCTTCTGGTGAATCTGAAAGTATAGGTAGGAGAGATCAGAATAATAAGAGATGTTAGATTTAATTTTACATAAATATCTTAACAGGCACTGTAGCACTGTCCTCCCATTGTTCATCAATTTGCTCGAGCGGGCACCAGTAACGTCTTGACTGTGAGACTTGTTGTTACTGTTTTTTGGCATATGGAATACGGCACAGGGAGCTTGCCAGGCTTTGCTGTGAGGGTGGGACACTCTCGGTAGCTTGTCAGGCTCTCCGAGAGGGATGGAGGAATCGAACCCAGGTTGACTGCGTGCAGGGCAAACGCCCTACCCACTGTACTATCACTCCAGTCCATCTTAACAAGCTAAAAGGTAAAATAAATTTCTTCTTCTATTGAGTGGGAAACCATTTTCCCTATTATCTAATGAAAATAAGCATTATATGATACTCTGATTCTTTATATAATTCTCTGATTCTCTTTAGAGCCTTGAAAATGTTTTTCTGTAGAAAAATATGTATAAAAAGAAAATAAAGCTTTGGTTATGTTACATAAGAACTATTATTATTATTACTATTATTTTTAATCTTGATGACCACAGCAGATAACAGAAAATCTCAGAAGTTATCTGAGGTTTAGAGTTGAAGAAAAGATTTAAAGTGAAATAAAACTATTTTATATAAGAATTTAAAAATAAATTGTTCCATCTACCTTTTATCACTGAAGAAAATGAGATTTCACACTATTTCAGCTAAAATTTATTTTTACCTTTCTATTCTAAATTTCAATGATGTAATTCACATAAACAAAGAAATTAATAACCTCAGATTCATACTGCTTCCATTTTAAGAAGACAGCCTTCCCAGAGAGATAGTACAAGAAGGAAGCCTGCCTTACCAGTGGCTGAACTGTATTTGAACCTGGCACCCCACAGAGTCTACCAAGCCCCCCAGGAGTGACCCCTGAGCTCAGAACCAGGAATAAACCCTCAGCACAGGTAAGTGTGGCCCCAAAACAAACAAATGAAAAAATACACATATAGCTTTCCCGTCCTCTTAGTTTGTACTCATATAACCACTATAAATTCACCTTCATAAATGGAAAAGGCCATTAATTAAAACAGGAAAAATAAAAGTCAAAATTTAGGCTCTGGATAGCTACTACAAAGAAAAAATATAAAATAGCAGACCTTAACTGTAATGTAATTGAAAGTTTTAAATTTATTCATGAAAGTAAACAACACTTAATTCTATATGTGTCTAAATGAAGTGTTATTTTCATTACCAAATAATATCAGACAACAGCTCAACTGAAAGTTATATATCTGATTTTTGTAGTGATAGCAAAACGGGTAGGACTTTTCCCATGCACGTGGTTGACCTGCGTTCAATTCCTCTGTCCCTCTCAGAGAGCCCGGCAAGCTACCAAGAGTATCCCATCCACATGGCAGAGCCTGGCAAGCTCCCTGTGGCATATTCGATATGCCAAAAACAGTAACAAGTCTCACAATGGAGACGTTATTGATGCCCGCTCGAGCAAAACCATGAACAACAGGATAATAGTGCTACAGTGCTAACCTACTCAAAATGTCATTCAAAATAAATATACTTCAAGTCATCTTCATATAAACAGGACAAACCAATACTTTTACACTAAAATACAAGTTACAAAATAAGGTGCTTAAATCAATTTTAAGCCAAACACAGTTTTGAATAGTAGATAGTGAAAACATAGCATTACCCCTCATTTGGACCCAAATCTCAAATGCTTGGATTATTTATTTCTTCAAGAAGCAGACTATTTAATCACAAAAACATAATCCTTGATATTTTCTTAAATAGATGGAATTTCTTTTTTTCCCTAGGGAATTGCCAGATTCCAGTGATATCTAAGAAATACGATTAAATTAGTTTAATTACTTCATGTCGACTTGATAAGTCACTGCTCTTTAATGCAAAAACTGCCACTTGTAATTAATGACTGTTCATACTGCCTTAATTGATCAAATGTCTAGTGCACATAAAACATTGAAAGAAGTTCTGTATATCTTACAGCAATTCGGTGGAGAAGTCTTGTCCCAGGGGTATGTAAATCTGAAGTACAAGAAACCTCTGGATCAGTCCAACTAGAATGAGAGGGGGGAAATAAAGATTCAAATGTCTACACCATTTATATGTGCATATAAACAAATACAACCACAAACCATCAATAAGCTGAAGCTTTTAGCAATATAATACAGACAACAATAACAGTATCCATGAATTACAACTATTTATTAAAGCAAAAAGTTGATGAAAATCAAACTTTAACAAAAATGTTGCCTTCTAAAATCCCATCTGTGGGGTTGGTAAATTTTTTTAATGAAAATTTAAAAAATAGTAATTTTTATTTACTATTTTTATTAGGTTGCAAGAAACTGAACACACAGAACTGCATTCAATAGAGACATATAAAATTGAACTACAGATTCCCATCAAGGCAGTCATAAAAGCATGAGGCAGTTATTTTTATTCACTGACAGTTTTAACTGTACTAAACCATTTAATAAAAAACAATAGATCAAAAACAACAATTCTAATTATGAAAACGCCAACTGAAGGCTTAAGAATCATAACTAGTTCATATGGCTTTAAAGGTGTCCACTTTGTAATGGATGGAAGCAACTATTTTGATTTAAAATACCTTTTGTTAAGTTAATACACTTTAATTAATTTAATTCTCTCAAATTAGTAATTGGGATTTGTTTCCCAACCAGATTAAAAATATTTAAAGAAGAGGGAATTCCCATGGCACTTTTGATGAAATCTACTTCAAAAATAATTGATTTTATATTACTTCTTTTGACTGTAATGTTTTGAGCTACTTTTTTTACTTCTCAACTATATGTAACTAAACATTCCTGATACCTATTCTCTACTTTTAAATTTTAGACACTGTGATTTACAATATTATTAATGATAGGATTTTATGCATACACTGTTCTAATACCATAACATCCACCAGTGTCAACCTAGACAACATAGCCTTCCTCCTCATTCCCCACCACTTTAATCTCAGTTCTGTCACCCAGTACAATTATGATACTCTTTCTAGATGTTTCATTTTCCCATCTTTCTAAGACATGCCTATGAGAACCAGTTTTTTCTAACTTGGAACTCTGGGCAAAAATAACCTTGACCCATCTATAAACCTCTCCTACAAATCTAATAGTAAAAGTCAACACAAAGAGTTCAAGTCTGCATGTTTGCTATTTTCTAGTTATCCTGACTTAGCTGAATAAACTTAACTGTTTTGAGATAATAACACATTTTTAGATAGTGTATACAAAAGACCTTCTGATTTATAATTCTCATGGTAGACTTGTGCAACATTCTCGAACAATTTAAGTAGTACTGTATTTTACCCTAAACATATTTAATCACATATATTAATTCTAAAATAAAACAATAATAATTTTAACTTAAAATACTAAGTTTGTAAATGGTTTCAAGAGAATCATCAGTGCAGTAAGCAACCTAATGAAAATACAAAATTAAACACAAGTGCTTTGGAAATTCACTAGGAATCAAACTCAAATGCATTTATGGAAAAAAGCAAATGAAGCAAACCAGTGGTTTCTTGACTACAGAGCAAAGTGAGATACAAAAACAAGGACAGCCTAAATAAACCATAAACCATTTTTAATCTTTCCCATATCTCCCATTGAATCTTCTCTTATCTACCGTATTTTTTCTTGCAGAATGGACTCCATAAATAGAGCTGAGGAGCACCAATGTAGGAAATCAGTATTTACAAAAGGTCCCTAGATAATTTTATAAATCTCACTAACTTAAAATATAAAGACTAATACAGATAGAGCATTTTTCTATGGACTTTTTTAGATATGAAAGATATTTGCCCTCAAAAATGAAATCTTTGTAATTCAACTTTCTCAGATGTAGAAGTCCGAGTTCTCAAAAGGCTTTACTTACAAGATTAAAAGAATTATGATGATACCATATAGTGATTATCTGACCCAAAAGAATTACTTTAATAATATTTTTTGACATACAGTGATGGTCACTGTCACTGTCACTGTCCTCTCATTGTTCATCGATTTGCTCGAGCGGGCCCAGTAACATCTCCATTGTGACAACTGTTACTGTGTTTGGCATATTGAATACATCACAGGTAGCTTGCCAGGCTTTGCCATGTGGGCAAGATACTCTCGGTAGCTTGCCGGGCTCTCCGAGAGGGGCGGAGGAATCCAAGTCGGGTTGGCCATGTTGGCCGCTTGCAAGGCAAACGCCCTACCCGCTGTGCTATTGCTCCAGCCCACAGTGATGGTATATGTCAAAAATGTTAAATAAACTTTATAGTATGATATTTTATAGTGGCCAAGTAAACTGAAACTTACTCTTTATGTCAACTTTATATTTAAGCAATGTTAAATGTGGACCTACTATTAATCAAAACAAGTCCACTAAACACACAAAATTCATAAAAGTATGTCTTTTTTACTGGAGGTTAACATGGTAAAATATACATATATCAATTTTAAGGTCTTTTCTCTGACCTCACCAGCTATTTGTAACTTTTCGGGCCCTTTTTTTTATTTTAAACATACTTAACTGGTAAAACACCAGTAGATTTTTAAATGTTTTTCCAGTTGTTTCACTTTAGCAATTAAGTTGGATACCTACATACATTTCACAAGTATTAGAAAGTCGTAAAGACAATGTCAGTATAGTCATTCTTGACAAGTGCCCTGAAAAAGTATGACTCTGGTTTCTTTAGCAGTCCAGGCATAACACACTCAGCAGATTTCTCTCACTTAGACACAGAAGACAAGAAATAGTTACACCTTCTGTTACTGTCACTGTTCTCCCGTTGTTCATCGATTTTCTCTAGAAAATAATGGCTTACTGGCTCTAGCGGGCCCAGTAACATTTCCATCATGAGACTTTGTTGTTACTGTGTTTGGCATATTGAATATGCATCACGAGTAGCTTGCCAGGCTTTGCCCTGCGGGCAAGATACTCTCGGTAGCTTGCTGGGCTCTCAGAGAGGGGCGGAAGAATCGAACTTGGGTCGGCCATCTTGGCTGGTGCAAGGCAAATGCCCTACCCGCTGTGCTATTGCTCCAGGCCATGTTTTTGTTATATTACACCTTCACTGTGGGCTATTTTGTATTCCTTGGGATAAGTTAAATAAAACTTGCTTTGACTCTTTTCCCCCTTTTTTCCTGACCATACTTGGCAGTGGTTAGGGTTGACTCCTGATTCTGTGCTCAGGGATCACTCCTGGCATGGCTCAGGGGACCATAAGGGATACTGGAAATTGAACCCACATCAGCCTTGTGCAAGGCAAGTACCCTACCCGCTGTCCTATCACTTGGTTCCCAATAATCCAGTTTTATGCATGAAAGGTAGAAGAGTCTAGACAAGGTTGGAGTGATCTAATAGGAGATAGGATATTTGCCTTGCCTAAGGCTGACCTGGGTTAGGTCCCTGGTATCCCACATGGTCCCCTGAAGCCATGTCAGGAGTGATCCCTGAGAGAGATCCAGACTTCCCAAAAACAAAAAATAAAAAACAAACAAACAAAAAAGTAAAACAAGGGGGAAAAAAACCCAAACAAACAAAACCAGGTTACTGGTTTTGATTTATACCTCAAGATTATTTGTGTGGAATTTATTTGTGTGAAAATGAGAACCATTATTTGATACATATTTACTGAACATTAACTACGTGTAGGACTCAAACATAAAATTTTTAAAATAAGACATATATGGTCTCTCTTTGCGAAAAACACATCCTATGTCCATGAAGTAGGAGATTTAGAATCAATGGAAGCAGGTAACCTTGGATCTGCAGAAGAAATAAAACGAAGAGTGAAGATTTTTCTAAAGAAACAACAATGTATTCCATTGGAAGAATAAAAAGAAATTAGCTGTACTAATAAGAAAAATGGAGGGGAAAAGAGAGGAAAAAATAACTACAGGAAAAGGCCACAGAAAATTTGAATACCTTAAAAGTCTAAAGAGCTGGCAAGAGAAAAAGAAACAGTGGGAGGGGACTTCAGGAGGCACTTCTGGCAAACAGGAATGTAATTTAATCAAGTAGCCCTGGAAAGTAATGCAAAATGATCTAGGTCATCCTGAAGTCAATGAAAGGCTACTTACACATTCATTCATTTATTCAACAAAGAATTATTGAATGTTAATGTGCAGGGTGCTAAGGTGATAGAGTGATAAGCTATGCTTTAAAACAGTAAGGATATCTGCTTAGTTGGAACAGACCATGGAAAAGTTCTCAGGGCATCAGATACTGCAGGGTCCCATAGATCTTTGGTTTTCACTCAGCATACCTTAAGTTAGATGAGTTGTTTACATCTAAATGTACAAGTTTGAAGTTTTGGAGAGAAGTCTATTATATGTCAGCTATAGCATGACAGGCAGTATTTAAAGCCATGTAATTAGAGCCACTAATTAAGAGAATAAATAATGAAGATGAAGCAAGGACTGTGAGCAGGGCCCTGAAACATTAGTTGAGATGGAGAAAAGTGGAAGAACCATAAAAAGAGTCTAAAAAGGAAAATCAGTGAAGCAAAAAGGAAACCAGGAATATGGCAATCTGAAAGAAGAGTGAAGAAAGCATCTCATGGAGGAAAGTGACATCTTTCTTAAGTCCTGCTGGTATTTTAATAAGATCAAAGGTAAGAACTGGTCAAGAGATTCAAGAATACAGAGGTCAGTATGACTTCAATAAGAGTACTATAAGGAGCCTTCAAAGGGCCTTAAACAAGAAGACATAATGAGATTTAGTTGAAAAGAATACCAAAGTGGGAGCAGAGAGAAGTCTGGGGGTAACTCCATAAAGATGACCTTATTCTCCAGAATAGCTACAATTTAGACCAACCAAGGCTTCAGAGATGCTAATCCTAAGAGATGCAATATTTGATTCAGATGCTACAAGAAAAGGTTTCAAATTAGAACCTCAAACAGAAAGTCCAGGGAAAGACAGATATGTATATGTGTCAGCTGCTTTTCATATGCATCTCTGTACAATATATTCAAGGGTGAATAACAGAATGTATTTATTTATCTAGTTGGCCAATGATTTACTCAAGTTTTATTATCAAGGT